GCCTTTGCCTGCCAGGCTCCCTGGGCCTGTGCAGAGACAGGATGTGGCTTCAGTTAGACAACGAGGTGCATTAACAGAGGGCATTCCCTCCAAATTCTTTGACTCTTCTCCTTCTATTTAAGCACACACCCCCCAACATTTAACGAGCTTCATGGCAAAATATCTTCCAGAAGCTAAATATGTGAAAAGCATCTCTTACGGGGCGCCAGAGGCCAGCCCTCAGCAAAACCACCCTCCGCTCATGCCGCCTGCAAAGTGCTCAAACCTGCATTGAGCTTTTAAGTCTCTGCCAAGTGCTCAGAAGCAAAAATGCCACTGTCAACTGTACGACAGGGTCAAAGGCAAAAGTATAACCACAATAATGTGCTAGGACTTCCCAGGGTTCGCGCGTGTGGCCAGGCAGCTGACACACAGAGTCAGCCACCCCGGGCACAGGAGCCCATCCCAGGGGTCAGAAATCCCCCCATCCCAAGAGAGCAGGAGCTACAAAATATCCACAGGACCCCACCAGCACCCTGTCACATGGGCTCCTGCACGATGAGTCTGCGGTTGGCGGACTTTAAAAAGCCAGGGCAGAAGAATGAGCAGAGAAAGGAGGTTTTGGCTCATGCCACAGGACAGGACAGCTCTCAGCGTTCAAGACCAACCTAATCCGGGCATTTCTACCAACTCCGCCTTTCTGAGAGGCTGCCCGCCTGCCCTGCCTCCTACAGGTCAGAGAGGCGGAGGGACAGGCAGAGCCAAAGGAATAAAACAGAAAGTGGGAAACGAAAGAAGGCTGGGAGGGCCTGGCCTCATTCCACGCAGAACCCTCAGCACGTCCTTCGTGATTTTCACAAAGCAATCACGCTCAAAAAGTGTGCCCAGAAAAAGCCGAAAGCTAGGGCTTAGCCCCTCGGTTTTGTACTGGGATCCAGCAAGAAAAGAAAGCCACGCCGGTCTCGAACAGGGCATCGGATGCAGAGAACTGTTTGCACAGCTGACGGAGTGGCTGAGAAACCAGGAGGGCACTGACCTAAGGGACCAAGAGTAGGACGTGGCTAAGACCCAGGCTGGGGCCGGGGAGGGTGGCCTTTTCCTGCAGCGGCCCGGACAGGCAGCATTTCGGTTGTAGGCCACTAGGTCTCTGTCCGCAAGACAGCACACTGCCCGTCAGCCAGTGACAGTTACACACCAATGCATGCAGCTGTGTCCCAACACCACTTTTAATTGGGAAAAGGGACCCCGGGCTGTATTTGGCCCTCAGGCTGATGTTTGATGCCCCCCCAGGCCACAGAGACAAAAAGAGTAAATACTAAGGTCAGGGTCACCTGGGAGACCTGAAAACCAGCTGTCCTGGCTAACTGAAGATGTAAAATTCAGACACACCCAACTTCTCCCCTGTCCTGTCCTCCAGTTTCCTGCCAAGGCCTCTCACTGCACAAGGCCAGCTGACAGGGGACCTTGAACATGTATCTCGTAGCGATCAGCCTCTGAAATAACAGAGGAACAGAGACAAAAGGAAATGAAGTCAAACGGGCCAAAAACTGACTAGTGAACTCATTTCATAGGGAAAAAAAAAAAGTTACAGCAGTTGTGACATATCTCTTACCTGAGGCATGTCATGTCTCTTACCGTGGACTGTTGACATATGATTGCATACAATAGTGGGTGGAGAGAGGGGCTTTGTAAGAATGTGTACTTATCTCTGTGTGAATTAACCTGAAGCAAAGGAAATCCATAACTAGAGGGGTACTGGGCTCAGCTGTCACGCCTACCCAGACTCAAATAACTCACACAGCAGCAGGTGTGTGAGTGTGCAGACTTCTGAACACACTCAGTCACTCATCAATTCCATTTTTTATCATTGCAGGTTTCCCCGTCAGACTACCGGATGTAAAAGAAGCAGCCACCATCCCTCTTTTGTCTCTATAACTGTTACATATGTTACAAAGAGAGGAGTAAGGTTTCGAAACAGACCTATTCACAGCAAAGATTTTATACTGGAAATGTCCAAAAAGAATTAATTATCTGGTTCAGGTCCTGTGAAATCAATTTCTCAAGTCTCATTTTAAAATACTCCTTGCAAGATAAACAAAGGCTTTGGATGAACCCTAAATGTCCATTTGAAGGCCATGTACATTTAATACACTATATTCAGTTGACATAAGTCAAGGTCAGTGCAGTAAGGAAACACTTCAGAAACACTCTGAAAAGGCTGCCTTTGGATAATATAAACTTACGGATTAAAGGACCTAAATAAAGTTATTATGAGAATACAATGTGGGTGAAAAAGTCACCAACAATACTTAGAATTAGTGCATTTTTAGATACTCAGAGCTAAGCAATAATTGTCTTTATGTCAAACTCTTGCTGCTTAATTTTTAAACATAATATGGAAATCCTAAAAAAAATAATAAGCGTATGCAGGGGTGGGCAAGAATAGGTGTACAGTTGTAATACAAACAAATAATGGAATAAGTCATAAATAATAATGCAAGAATAAACTCTGGGTTTTGCATACTCACAACTGTAAACCTACTTTTGCCCACCCCTGGAGTTGAAACACACCAAGATAGGTGGATCAGGGTACTGTGACAACTCTTTCAGGCTAATCACAGCTCTGTAGATTTTCCAAGTGGCTCGTGTGCATGAAGAAAATTAGAATCTGCTCTCTTTGCCTCTCCAAATAGCAAAGAGTCAGCCTAATTCTTCACCGATGTAGAAATTGCATTTCTCATAGAAGGTCGGAAATAGCTTTCAATGAGCTCTGTTCATCTGAGGTTTTATTAAACACAGGTACAAGATTTGGGCATTGATTACAGCCCTGAGCCCAGTGCCCTGAAGTCAAATTTCTAGAAACTACCATGGTAGGGAGAGAAAAAAAAAAAGACAACAGCACAGTGGGAAGACACAAGTCTGTAGTATAGATATAAATACTGCTCTCCGGGACCCTCTGTTCCTTCCATATTTTTGATATCTTTATCCAGGCCGTCAACATTCTTTCTCTCCCTCTTCAGTCCTTGGGCCATTCTTCCATAACCTCTCCTGTCCTCCCCAGACTACAATATTCCCCAAGCTCACAATTTTTCTTTCTAGCCTTTATGTTCTTCCACAGGCCAGAGCTCCCTAACTAAAGATGGTTATTGATGTCCAGGCCCACTGTGTCAGTGCGGCAGCAGAATCAATAAACGAGAAAATACTGCTTTGTCAGGTTTCACCAAAGCATGCTGGGAAACTTTACTGCTTTGGATGGTTACAGAAACTCCTAATGTGGGAGATTGAGAGCCGGGCTCCCTTCTGCGGCGAGAAATTATGTTCTTCTACCCTCTAGTGACTATAAAGGAATAAGACAAAAGTCAGAGGGATTTTTAAGACAGCCTCACATTATTTATTGTCTCTTAATTTCTAAAAAGAACCAGAGTCCTGGAAACCAAGTGCCCTGGTAGGTAACAAAGCGCCTTATCAGAGTTGTTTGGGAAGTGTTCAAAATGCAAAGCATGTGCATTTCAGGAAGAGCCAGAAGTTTGATCCCTTTGAATTTGAAAAGGCAAACTTTGCCGGTCTTCCTCAATGATTGGGGGCTAGTTAGGTTAGAAATCTTTCCCTCTCCTCTTTCATACACACACACTTTTACAGATTCACAAAGTCTTTGTTTCCTTCTCCTTACTTTACAGAGAAGCGCAGTGAGGTCAGAAGTCAGAGCTGGTGTGTGTGTGTGTAAATCAATGGACAGAGGAGCCAGCTGACCCCCCAACCCCCCACACATACACCACAGCCCCCACCGTGTCACTCATTCTCCTTAACAAGGCAGCCGAGCTGCTGAATTAAGTTATAATTTTTTTTTAATGTTTTGTTGGTTCATTTTTACACTCATTTAGCCATTTAGTCGCTGAAGTTGCAACGTGCTATTTTAATAACCTGAGAATTCCTAATGCATTTCTACCTTGGTACACCTACACTTTTTACAAATTGGACAGCAGTATACATAATTGCTTAAGCAGATACTAACTGTAAAAATCACCAATACTTTATGAAGAAATATCTAAAAAAACTCACCAAAAAAAAGAAGCAATAAATGTTTTTTCTTCAGAAGATATGCAAAGTGTTTATAAAAAATACCATGAAAGCCCTGGCCAGTTTGGCTCAGCGGTTAGAGCATCGGCCTGCGGTCCGGAGAGACCCGGGTTCAGTTCCCGCTAAGGGCACGTACTTCGGTTGCAGTTTGTCCCCGGCCCTGGTTGGTCGTGCGGGTGGCAGCCACTCGATGTGTCCCTTCACGTCGATGTTTCTCTCTCTCTCTCCCTTCCTCTCTCTCCCTCCCACTCTATCTGTACAAAAAATGGAAAAATATCCTCGGGTGAGGATTAAAAAAAAAAAAAATACCATGAAATCCTTTCAATGAATCTTTTCATTGTTCCTATAACACCAAAGCTAATTTCTATCTAATGGTAAATAACCTCCTAAAAGACTAAATCTAACTGTACTACACTCTAAATACTCTAAGCTTTAAGAAGTGCAACGTTCTAACATGGCCGGTACATATAAAACATCACCACTAAAGCAAGTAAGTTCAAACATCTGGCTATGCCCTTATTAAATAAAATTTTATCTTATTTTTTATAAATATGTTTTTATTGATTTTTTTTTTTTTTTTTTGAGAGAGAGTGGATGGAAGAGAGAGAAACATCAACGTGAGAGAGAAACATTGATCGGCTGCCTCCTGCACGCCCCCTACTGGAGATCAAGCCCGCAACCCAGGCATGTGCCCTGACCAGGAATTGAACCAGGACCTCTCAGTCCAGGGGACGGTGCTCCATCCACTGAGCCACACCGGCCAGGCACAAATGAAATTTTAAAAGGGAGGTTGTGTCCTCCTTCACCACAGTAGTAAGAGGAAAGAACACTGCTCCCTGTAAAGGGTCACTTGCATTAATCACACAGACATTTGTATTTGTAATGAAGATGAACTTTTAACCAAATAATGTAACTGAAAAAATTTAAAAACCAGTGATATTTACCTTGCTGGCACTTAAGCGCTTCCGATTTGACCAGCGCTGAGGATCGTGTCCATGGAAGGGTGGAAAATGGCAAAATGAAAGAGAGAAATAGAATCATTAACAAGATAAAAAATATTATTATATTCGTTAGATGGTGCAGACTACATTCCAATGACAAACACCCAACCTTCCTCTGAGGTTACAGAGAAAACAGAAAAGTCACATTTCTGTGGGCGTTACACTATTTGCTCACAGTGCTTTCAACAATGAAAGTACAGGGTCTATAAATACCGCTCTGCCCCTGCAGTCCATCCATGTTTCTGAATTGCCTAAAACATTAGCTCTTGGTCTCTAAAAGCAACGGGGAATGGTCGAGTTCTCCTACTTGAAATACTCAGATAGTATTATTAAAAAATGTTTAAGAAATGCACAGACAATGTTAGTTCATGTTTAGGTTTCCGTGGTTCTCGACACTAGAAAAACAATTCCTTTTACCTCCACTGATTACATCTCAGTGTTCAAAATAAAACCTTTAAAAATGAAGTCCTTCTTGCGCAAGTTCTAAGGAAGGGAAGGAGAAATGTTCTGAGCAGCGAGTGGTTTCCCCACGGCACGTGTGTGGCCCCTTTCACACTAAGGCTGATGAGCTTCGCCCACAATTAAAATTGTGACATTCTACTCGGGCTGGTTACCCAGCTAACTGGACGTTCAAATTCGGAGAAATTTGGGAGATTACCACTCAAGTATGAATGTAATAGAGCAGCTCACGTTGACTATTATGCTTAAGAAAAAAAAAAAAAATCCTTCAGGCAAACGGCCTCATCACTCTGCTGATACATCTTCCTGATAAATTAGAAACCAGAAAAGAAACAGTCTTTGGGGGAAATCCACATGACACTGCAGTGACCGGCAACCAGAAACGTGGATGCCGAAATGACTTGAAAATATTCTTTATCGAAAACTCTTCCCCTGGGGGAACTCGGGGCTCAACACTCAGCACGTGACACGGGGTTGTAGATACTACGACCTGGGTGCTAAAATCAGTTCTTTGTGTATTTTCCCACGAGCATATTGACAAGTATTTCAACCCAAAACAAACACCAAAATCAATGATCATCTTAAAGGGACACAAAGCTACTTAGGGCCTTTTGACATATAATTATTTCGATTTTTAATTATTTTGACAATCATAAAAGATACATAAAATAGATATTGGTTATTAACAGAAAACGGCTATTATTGTCTGCTTACTACGCTATGAAAGCTGCCTCTACAGGTAGCCAACCTCTGTATTTGCTCATCTCAATCTTCACAATTCTGTGAAATAAATAACCCCTTTTTTATCCCCATTTGTCTCCTGAGGAAACTGTAGCTGAGAGGAGTTGTTAATGTGAATTTGACCTGAGCGCAGGACTTCTCAGAACTGGAAACTGTCGGAGCTGGATTCCCACCCAGGCATCTGAAGACAGAGGCCGTCATTCTAACTACAGCCCTCTGTTTGCCAAGGAAAAGAAACAGACACCAGATTGAGCAGCCTCCCGGCGACTGTCTCCCTTCTCCTTGCACCTTGCCTACCTACACACAAGTTCACACGTGAGGGTCAATTCACAGCCGTTTTGCACATGGTAAGATTCTCATCGGCTTGGTTCTAAAGCAACAGTGACCGCCTCAGTGATTATGGTAAGAAAATGGGTACAACACTGAGAACGTAATCTGAAGTCTCTCCATCAGACTTTCAATTAGAATGGAAATGTATAAACAAATTATTCCCTATCAGTGCACAACTGTCTCCCTAGTCTACAGTGTTAGTTATCCCCATTTAAAAACCCAATATAAGAAGACTTAACTTAAACTAAGTAAAACAAAAACAAAAATTAAAACACACACAGACATTCCCTGGTATCCAAAAGGCCCCAACTAGCCCTGTGAGACTGTGAGCTATGACTATGCACAGCTCAGGATACATTAGTCCTCGCTGGGGTAGATTTTGATCAAGTATAGCAACAGAAAAATAAAACTACCAATTGGAACAAAGGAGAGCAGGCAGGATTTTCCTCATTATAATAGCCACATAAAAAAAATATATAATAAATACATTGCACACTAGACCTCTGCCACACAGGCAAAGAACCAAAAAAAAAAAAAAAAAAAAAAAGTATGTGGCAAAAGCACATATTCAGTCTGGAAAACTCTCAAACACAGGAGGAGAAGAGACAAACCAGAAAAGATGGTAAGTGTGACCACTTTCAGGGTTCTGCAAAGATACTCCTTGAGATGCTTCCGAAAAACAAACTCAAGCGTCATCTAGGATTAATTCCTCTGCAGTTGGAAATAAAATTTTAACTAAGGTAGCATTGCTTTAAAACTCTCAATTATGGCACTGTTTAAATAGATTTTAAATGTCAGTATTACTGCTAAACATAATCCGTGTATTAGAGAGAAATTCACAAAGGCAATAAATACGCAGCTTAGACATGCAAGTATTTTCATGGGGATATTATCCAACTTTACAAACCCCACTTAAGTATGTAAGAAATGATTAGAACCTCTCAGCTAGCAATTGCTCAACCATGGTGGTAAGCGATACTTACTTACATTGCAGGTTATTTTAATCTGGCATCCAGCTCAAGTAACTGGTCACCTACTGTCACGTTGACCTTGACTCCAGTGGCAATGATGTCAAGACTAAGAGAGGCCACAGAAAATCCCTTCTTTGTCATGATAGATAGAAAAATGAGTACCTTTTCAGCAGCAATTTAAGACATTTCAACATAAAGTTATCTGCTTCATTGAGGCCTCAAGTTTTTGCACTGATACTTTTTTAAAAAATTGACGAAGGGATATTTTTTTTGGTTATTGTCAAGTAAATACTCATAAGATTCCGAATTAAAAACGGCAACTATGTCGTTGACCTTCTGACATTTGAAGAGTCACTGTGCACTTCTCCTACTTCTTGGATCCATTTTCTGAGTTTCCTAGTAAATCAGTCATAATTTTCATCATGAAAATAAATTATAACTACAAGCAAAAAATGATGTCAAAATGAAGAATATTCTCTTCATCGACCCCAGTGATTCAATTCAAGAAGCATTGTTGGAGGCCTAATTTATAAACAGGCTTCAGATTTTCATGCCAGATTCTAAACATGCTAAATGCTACCACATCTTAGTCCTTTTCGAGAAGGTGTTTCAGTGGCTTTAAAAATACCGTGCAAATAAATGAAAATCAAAGATGCTTTCCATTCTCATTTTAATGTATTATCGGCATTCATAATGACAGCGCCTCAGTCATATCATCACAACACCCAGTGCCTCGCTGGTGGTATAGGAGTCTTCACTGGGTTGTGTATTAAGTAGAAATTTCTATAGAATGGACCAGAAAACATTAAAATCTGTATCTTCCCAAAAGTACTCTCAATAAAAAATCTGGTAGCTAAAAACAAAAACAAAAACAAAAAACAAGAAACTAAAATGCTTCAAATATATACTTGACCGCCTTAATGTACAATGCAATAATCAAATCCTAGAGACTGCTTTTTTGTAACTGAACAATGCCCAAGTCATGTAGTGTTTAAGAAAATTTAAATATATATATACACACACACACACTTTAACACTTACTCAAAGTATATTTCAGATGATCTGCTAAAAGCAGACCACAAGCAACATTTTAATCATAGCAATACTCATCCATATTCCTACCCAAAATAGAGAGAATTCTTCATTGATTTTCTTTCCAGAGATCCAAAAGAGAGGACATACATAACCACAGACCGATTCTTTAAGTCTCTATAAAATGACTTGTTTCACTCTCAAAACAATTACACAAAGAGCAGTCATCTGATAGCCCAGTAACCAAAGGACAGTTGCAAGGAAGGATTTCCCAAAGAACAAAATGGTGATACTTACATGTCTCTTGAAATCCCCTTGTTTTACTATGAGGTTCAAGTTTAACACGATCACTCCCATGTCATCTTCTAAACTGTTAGGATCTTCCAATTTTAAAATATGTTCAGTTGTTCTACAAGCCAAAGACCAACAAATAACGTTAGCACTTATTGGCAGTACTGGGTGATCTTATAATGCATCAGAAGCCTATGGTAAAAGTCTCATACCTGTTAATAAGGGTGCTCAAGTTTAAAGAACCCCAAATTCAGAAAATAAACCAACCATTTTCAGAGTAGAGAAATTGTTTGGCATTGCCTAATTCAACAGTTGGTTAACTGCTTCTTCTCACCGATTCCCCCCAATAAAATGTAAACACTTGTTTTAATGTTTAGTTAGGTAGGTTAAAAGAAACCTGATTAAGAAATGAGAGTGCAAAACTCAACACACGGTTTTGAACACATTATAGAGAATTTAATATCTGACAGGTACTTTTGGGAGCTAAAAAAGCAAACATCATTAAAATATTACATTTTAAGCACTCTTTTATTTCCTCCAATTTTTTTGTCATTTGAGCTAAACAAATGCCACTTAACACTGTCTTGCGTTCCCTCTAAATTTCATTAACACTGTGAGAAGGTAAAAGTACAGTACCTGTCAAGTTCAAGATCACTGAGAGAGACAAATGCGGAGCCCATGAAATCAGATGTAGTTAAATCTCGATCGTATACCTGAAGAGAGGGCCAGTAACACACATGAACGTGAGAAACCCAGTCTATCAAATGATTCATAAATGTAATAGGCTGAGAACTTTACATGCAGTCTTCCAGATCAGAAAGTAATTTGCACAGGACAATTCAAGAGGAATTTAGCCAGGCCGATGGAGAAAACAACATTATTCTAACTTGCCTATTCTACCCACCCCAGCCAAAGCAGCAGCAGAAAACACTTTGGAGAAAGTCGTCATATGCATTCAGACGTTATGCACAATGGACTACTCTCAGCAGTTTAAATGGTCTCTCATTAAAATTTAGTATTTTCCATGGTGAGCAGGTCTGTCAATTAAATAGAAATTTGCTAAATATTCTACAGCAATCTCATTCTGCACTCAACTCATGCAGTTTTAACCCAGATGTTAGAGCAATTAATGCTTACAACCAGTAGCTTAAAGCGCTATTAAGTATAAAGTTATTCCTAATGAGAAAGGCTGTAGTACTCGTCGCTACTGAACTAGCAGTAATAAATCTTCTACATTCAGTAAGTTTAAATACAATCAATGGCGATATTGTTTCCACTCTGATTTTCTGTAGAGTGTATCTCATTGATCTGAAAGAAATATACAGTGTCGACAAAGCATCTAAAGTATCCTTCCCATACTGATCCTTTTAACTCAGTGCTTAAGAACAATGGAAGAATTCATTTGGGGAGGTCCGCTTTGCAGAGGGGAAGGGCTGCTGACAAATAGATGTTTTCGAGGACAGAGATCTGAACGCCATTTGTGATTTACCTTCACACGTAGCTTTTGATCAAGGCTTTGTATTGGCAACACAACTATCTCATCCCAAACGGGGTTCAAGTTCTTATATATGACTTTACTCTTGTACAGCGTCTTCCCGTTCAGCTTGAATTTCACGTAGGGGTCACTTGTGCCTTGAAAAGAGAAAGACAGCCAGACAGGATTTCAAATGCACATAAAAGCCTGGGATCTCCCCATTAAGTAAAGATTCTTTCCACACTCCTCAGGCTCAAAGCATTTCACCGTGCGCACCCAGAACAAATCTGTCCCTGGGCGGAGATCGAAGGCCCCAGAGGTAGAGAGGAGAGACGCATGAAACAATTTGGGGTAAATGACTGATTCTTCTCTGCCTTCCGTGGTAGAATATAAATAGGCTCCTTGAACTTTTTCTGTTTTGTTTCCTTGTGGGGATGTCATCACTACGCTACCCACAAAAATTCCAGAAATAAAACCCACTGGCACCGGCCCACAATGTCAGGAGTCCTGGGGAGAAGCCCACCCATCTTAAGAATGGCAGTGAGTCAGTGCAAAGGGAAAGAATGTATTTTCAAACACTTGGCCAGATGGCTGACTCCACAGAACCCTGTACTTTAGAATATAATCATAATAAATAAATCAATCTCTGGAGCCATTGGCTCAAAAGATGGGGCAACGGGACTGAGACTGGATTGGGGGCGTAGAGATTAAATGGACAAAGTTGCTATTCTTTGCTGCCGAGCACCTGCAACAAAGCAGAAAACAGTGTTTCACCCTGGCCAGCTGAACACCACATCAGCCAGGCCCTCAGCTGGCCTCGGGGAGACACCCCTGACCTGGCGGCTCCTCCCGCGGAGCTTTGAAACGGACGCCAAAAGAAATGAATAAGGTCCTTCCAGCCACTAAGTCCGAAGCAGAAAAAAGGGCCGATGACGGACCCTCCTCCACACTTTTCAGATCGGTTGAGAGGGGGGAAAACGCCTACAAACATAATACATGGATTACGTGTTGTGCATGTGTGTTACATGCATGCAAGTGTGCCATCATACGTGGGACTCAGGGGACACACGTGCACGGATACCTAGTGAATTATAAATAAAGGGGGCACAGACGAGACGCCAGCTGATATTGCTACAAAGGAAAAAAATTTGAATTTGGGGAGTTATAATAGCATAATTAATTGTGAAACACAGGGCGATGAATAATTTCCAAAAGACCACGGATGTATCCCAGGTGCCTTGGACACTGCCCAACACAGGCCCCCATACGTGGACTGAATTCAATCCCTGATATTAACGTCAAGCCAAAACAGTCTGAGAATATTAGATAAAAAATGAATGAGGCTGTTCCGTCACTAACATCGGCCCAACTGTTAATACCCCTCATGCATTACTCGAATCTTTTCCTTTTCAGCTCCTCGTGTTTCCATTTAGCTGCGGAACGAAAAATTGCTGAATTTAAGGTGGTACATTTCCCAGCTACTTTCACTGAGGGCCCCTGCACAGCAACACATTCTGTGCATTGTTTCAGTCTTAGAGGAGCAGAGGTATAATTTTGCCGAGTTTGTCTTCCAGTTTTACAAGGCTACTAACTTCAAAAAAAAACAAAAACAAAAGCAATAGACTGCAAAGATACACGTATACATAGTCAAGTCTCACACTTTAAGGTTGGCAACACGGAGGGCAGAAGCCCAGCCGTCTACAGTTTAAACACACACACATACACATGCACACACGCACACACGCACACACGCCAAGTTAAGTGGCAGTGCTGAGTGGGATTGTAAAAATGAGCACATTCACAGCCATTCCGTGGAATACTCACTAGTGAGTGAGGACTCTGGTCCCCACCCCCTGCAAGTCAGACTTTAACAATCATTCTGATATATATATATATATAAAAAAAAAAGTGGAGGAAAAACTATAATAAAAAGAGGCCTTTAATTAAATGAAATTGCCACTCTGGGATCAGGGCTTCATGCTTGTCAGCCTACGCTCAAAATAAACATCTCAGAACCAGGCCTCCGCGGTGTCACTTTCCCACAGGCAAAGCATACTGGGTAATCCCCAGGCATCTTGACAGCTACATAATGTTCAAACTGTTTCACGGGTGAATGGCAGCAATTGCGTGAAAGAAAATATTAATGTCTGGAATTAATAGAAAAAGGGAGCAGGGTTTACAAAGCCAAACAAGGAAGGAGGGTGTCGCGTTAGTGCGGCGTTAATTGTGAGGGAAAGTTTGAGAAAGGGGGGGGCGCGGCGTGATTTTTCTGTCGGAGACTAAGTGACTCACTGTCAGGGATGTGACATCTCAACTAGGCAGGTTCTGAAAAGGGGTCAGCCGCCCAGGAATGCAGCTCCCAGATTATACAAATGATGAGATGACACCTGAATGGGTGGACTAGAACCTCTTTCGCTGCAGTTCTGAGTGGGATCCGTGAACAATGAGCTGCTCGGAATGAAGAGGTGGGATGGTACTTTGGCAGGCTAGGAGGCCGGTGACCGATGCCCCCAGGCTGGGGCTGCCTTCGAGCCGCCATGTGGACCCCATGGAGTAACGCAACCTCAAATTTAGAATAGCCAGGCCGTCCACACCCCTGGCCCGACTTTCCTGCTCCATCTCAACCACACGACGGCTCTGTGTCTGCTCAGACGGGCTAACCGCCGTTCCTCAGTTCTCCAACAGAGTCGCCCCAATTTATACTCCCGACATGTGTGACAGTCCTCATTGCTGCTCAGTGACAATGGGGACTGTCTAGTCTCCCCGGACTGCGTAGCTGTCAGGCCTGCCAACATTGCTCCTGTGTCACAGATTTGTACGGGGGACAGCGCACGGCTCGGTACCCAGCACTGTAAGGGGGTGCAAGGGAAAATGAACCCCAGATTCTGCTCTTCTGCACCTGGCGGGCAGCAGGCAGACTGTAAATAGAACCCCAGAGGTAAGTGTCAAAAGATAACTGATCTTGGGTTCAGGGAGATCTGCCCAGCTGGGTCTGTGGGGGCTGGAAGAGATGGGGGTTGAAATAGGGGGGAAGCCAAACATGCAGAGAAAGACTGAGGTCATCTGCGCGGAAGGGGATGGGGACCAAAATGACAAGATTTGTATAGTGCCAGGCAGGCATTTCAAAGGATCTAGAAAATTAAGGGGGGAAGTAAAATAAGAAATGGAGTTTAAAAGGCAGATCTGAGTCTGTGTCCAAAGTATTCAAAAATAACCACACAAGCAGTTTAGTTTTGTTCTGGAAGAGGTCGCGAGAGGGCGGTTTTGTTTTTCTCTGTCGTCTTTCTTTTTTAATATTTTAACAAATGTAAGACATGCACACAACTCTGAAAGGCATGAAATAGAAAGTCAAGTCTTAACCTTTCCTCACCCCCATTCCTACAACATACCAGTTTCTTGGATGTTTTACAGAAAAAAATACACACACACACACACACACACACACAAGTTTTTGACTTGAATGCGTTCGTATTATAGGTACTGAACTTTGTTTTTTATTTCTACCACTTAAGTTTCTTCCAGTTCCGCTCATGTCAGCAATACGGACTCACCAGTTTTGGGTTTTTATGAAACAAATGCATAAGTTATCATTGTGTTAGTGTGTCTTAATTTATGTCACTAGTCACCAAGTAATGGATATTTTCATCACTTCCATTTTTTTTTTTTTTTTTTTTTTACTACTACAAACAATACCACAGTAAGCATCCTTGTATGACTCTTTTGGGGTTCATCAGTGATTACATTTAAAATAAAACTTCAACATTGTAACTGCTGGGCAAATCAATAAATGCCTTTTCTGGTTCCGATAGACAGGGTCAAGTCTCTTCCCCAAATCTGTCAAATGTATACTCCCACCAAGAGAATGTTTTTGTATTTGTTTCTCTATAACCCACCAACATTAGCTGTTCTAAACCATTTCTTAGGAAACCAATGACAGATGAAAAATTGTATCTCCATTTGTTTTCTGTTTTTAACATTTGAGTAAAGACCCGCATTTCTATTTGTTTGTCAAGGAAATTCTTGCTCATATTCTATGCCTCTTTCTCTTTGGGTTCATGGTTTATCATCTGCTTATGGGTTTAAATGGGCCCTTAATTATAGAAATCAGCCATCGGCTATAAATCTTACAATTTGTTTAAACTCATGTTTCTTGCAATAAGTAATTTTCATTTTGATTTGGTCAAGTTTACCAAATTTTAGTCAAATTTATGGCTTTGTAGTTTCCCATTCTGCTCCGAAGAAATTTTCTCACGACAAAATTTTAAATTAGTTCAGCTATGTTTTCTTCCACTGATTTTGGAGTTTTTTGTTGTGTTTTTTTTTTTTTTACGCTTAAGCCTTTGGTCCATCTGGAATTATTTTAGTGTGAGGAGGGGAGGAAATTCAGGTTTGCTTATGAGCAGGAGAGTAAAATGATCAGAGCCAAGCCTGAGAAAGATAAATCTGGCAGCAGCTTATAATTTAGAAGGAAGAAGAAACATGTTAGAACAGGAAAACCTGGGAGCTGAGATAACACAGCACCAGGGCATTGAGGACTTAGAATAAAACCGCCCCAGACCTGAGAGAGAACATCCAGTTTCACAAGCATGACCCACCGAATGTTCACCTCGAGAGATGCTCCGTGGTCTGAAAGGGCGGTACCGCCCAATCCACTGGGAAAAGCTAGTTCCCATTTTCTCACTTAGACCTTCACACTGTACAGCAAAATATTAAATTCTGCCAAGAACGGCATTAAAGACAGACAATGAGGATAACAAAAGCTGGAAGAGTTTCTACTCTGTCTTTCATGAAATTATTTTAACACAGAAAACATTTGATGGAGCATCTACAAACAGAATTTTATACTTCTCCAATTCACAGCACTGGAATATAAAAGTATCTCCAGAAAGACCTGTTAAGCATGGTAGACGTATTATAAAAAGGTGATGTGTGAATGAATAAACTTTGAATTAGGATGCGCATGATTCAAACCCCAGATCTTCCTTTTAGTGACTCTGTCTCCTTAATGTCCTTATGCCTCCTGTCTTCACTTAGTAGATGAAAAATACCAACCTCAAAGGATTATGTTAAAAATGAAATGAACCACCTTGGTTGGTTTGGCTCCATGGTTAGAGCATCAATCTGAGGACCAAAGAGTTGAGGGTTCGATTCCAGTCAA